GACAGTGTCTCTCTTCCTTTTTCTCCCTCTCTGTCCCTCTTGTTTCCCTTGTGCCCTCCATTTCTCTCTCCTTAGACATCTCCCTGCCCATATACCCCTCTTTCCCTCCACCTCTCACCCTCAGTCTCTCTACTCCCTCTCCGCCCTCACCTCTCTCCTACCCTGCTTCCATTTGTCCCCCTCCTTCCCTCTCTCTTCCTCCTTATGACTGTCTATTTCTCTCCTGCCCTCTGCTCCACCCACAACATGGTCTTGAGTCCACTTCTCCCTTCCTCTCCCTTCCTGTCTGTTTTCATGTCTTCCTCCCTGCACCCCTCTCCCTCACACTTCCTCTCTTCCTCCCTGCACCCCTTCCCTCTCTCTTCCTGTCCATAATCCTCTTCCTCCCTTCATCTGCTCCTCCATATCTCTCCCTCCCTGTCTATCTGGCTCCTCATCTCCATCTCTCCCTCTGTCTATCTCTTTCCCTTAGCCCACCCTCTCTGTCCCTCCTCTCTATTCCTCCCCTCCATGCCTGTCTTCCTTCCTCTCCTCTCTCTCTTCCTCCCTCGCTTGTCTCTCCATCTCCCTCTCTCTGACTCTATCTGTCTCTCCCGCTCTCATTCCATCTCCCCTGCTCTCCAGATCCTTTTTTCTATCCTGTCTCATCCCCTCTCTCCATCTCCCTCTCCCTCTCCTCCTTCTCCCTCCCTGCCTCTCCGTTTCCCCCACTCTCTTTTCCTTTACCCCCCTCTACCGCTTCCTGTCCCCCTTCTCCCTTTCTCCCTCCAAGATCTCTCCCCTTCTCCGACCTCCTCCCTGATTTTCTCTCCATCTCCCTCCTGTGTATCTCTTTGCCTCACCCTCTCTGCTTATCATCTCCTTCTTTCTCTATTTCCCTCTTTTCTCTCCATGCCCATCTTTACTTCCCTATTTCTCTTTCCCTTTCTCTCCCTCACTGCCCATCGCTCCCCTCTCCTTTCCATTCTGTCCCCATCTCGCTTCTCTAGAGCTCTCTCTCTCCCTTCTCTCATGCTCTCTCTCCATCTCCCATCTCTCCCCGACCCGTTCTCTTCCCTCCCCTGTCTCTTTCTCTTCCTGCCCCTTTCCCTCGAGCACCCTCATTCACTCCCTCTCTCCAGTCATCTGTCTCATCTCCCTCTACATCCCTCCCTCCCCCCTCTTCTTCCCTCTCTGGGCCTCCCTCTCTCTTTCTTGCCCGCCTCCCCACTAAGTCCTTCTCTAGAGATGCCTCTTCCTATTTCCTTTCTTTAATCTTCTATTTCCTCTCTCCCTCTTTCTCTCTCTCCTCCTCTCTTGCTTTCTTCCCCCTCTCATTGTATCCCCCACCCTATCTGTCTCTGTGTCTCTCTGCCTCTCCTGCATCCATATATACACAGGGGTGTTAGGATCAAGACTCGGGTTGTCTGGAGAGAACTATGTGTCTTAACCATCTGCTCCATCACTCTGGCCACAGCACAGTTTACGGTTTTCAAAAAGTACTTTCTGTGTGGCTCTCAACAACCTATACCTCCAGCTCCAAGACATTGCACACTCTCTACTGAACTTTGTAGGCAACTGTACTCATCTGCACACACCAACACACACACACACACACACACACACACACACACACACACACAAACACACATTTAAAGATGAGTAAACATTAAGAACTGTAAAGATTTGTATGCATTTCTAATAATTTTGCTATCAGAGTTGAATACTCACATGAATTAAACATGTGTGCCTATTTTACTGTCAGCACTCAACTAATGAGCACCTAGTTCATAATAGTGTGATATTTGCAAACATATCCTGTTCATACCTGTATTGTACTTCTTTCAGTACCTAAGAAAGACCAGAGATAACAAAGAGCCCCGAATGCAGCTAAGTTGTTGCAGCCAAACCATGTGGGCACTACAGCCTCCAATGTGAAAAGAGACAAGCCTTTAGCATGTAAATGGTACCTTTAGAAATGCTGTCCAGGTAGAAGTAGTACTCATCGGCGATGTAGATCATGTCTTTCTTCACGAGGGAAACACACACAGACAAATCATGAATCTTGGAGTCTGGATCTCTAGGCTTATCATCTTCAGAGAAGACACATACCTACCAGATGGGGAAGCACCAATATAAACGATCAAAATCAGAATGGAATCACCTGTGTCTCTAACACAGCCTGGGGAAGGGCTGAACTAGGAAGGGCCCTGAGAGAATCAACGATTCCAGATTTAAGACATGCTCCTTTGTTGCAAACAGCTCCGCTCATAGGGAAATCTTCTGACCCTGGGCTCTTTCCAGCTGCCACGACCAATGCCATGGTTATTCCTTTCTAAATGACTTTCCTTGAGAAGTGAAATACCAGGCACTAGTCTATCCACTGCCATGGCGGCTACTCCCAAGTGAACTGCACTACAGACATGTCTGTGCCCAGATGCGACACAACTTCATAGCCATAGCGCCCAGTGAACCTACCCAGAAGCCTCATGTCCAGGACCCATTGTCACCAACCCCATTCCCTTAACACAACAGGGAGCGAACCCAGATTGAGTTGTTTGTGAGGAACACACAAGCAGCCTTTCAATATAATACAGGCACTGCATGCATGCGTGCAAGGGCGAGGGGGGAGGCTGTCTCGACTTTGTGGAAAGAAACAAACACTGAGATATGGTTCCTCCTTCTGTGTGAGCACATTGTCGAATCCAGTCTTGCTAAATGTTCAGGTGCAACTTAACTCTGATAAGAAACAGGACATGGGTGAGTTAGAATTAGCTGGTGATGCGACAATGACCCATGAAGCCTTCATATGTTCCTTTTCTTAAGAGTCCCATTCTGTTTGATATGCAAACAGTAACAATATGTCTGGATGATCAGTGGCTGTCAGAAGATAAAAATGAATGCCTACTCCTGAAGAGTTGCACCAGCTCCGTGTTCCTTTTCTTAAGAGTCCCATTCTGCTTGCTATGCAAACAGTAACAGTATATCTGGGATGATCAGTGGATGTCAGAAGATAAAAATGAATGCCTACTCCTGAAGAGTTGCACCAGCTCCCAGGGAAATTTTCAGGCTGCTTTTCCCTCCTAGGATTTGCAAGGCTGTGGATGATCAGAGCCCTTCCTTACAGACACTGCAAAAGAGGCAGCCTGGTGCAAGGAGTTCGATGAGTGCAGCAAAGGTAGCAGACAATTTCATCCAGTCTCTTCTCCGTGCTATACTTCATGAGTCCAGAAACCGTAAACTCATGGATCTCACCCCTCAAATGGGAGAACACAGCGGATCCCTCAGTGAGTGCTTTCTGAAAGGTGAACACACATCATTTCAGATAGCAATTCCCCTCTTGTGAATGATCCCTGAAAACACAGATTTTACCTCACAAAACTGTTGCAAGATGGTGCTGTGTCTACTGCTTATCGCTGTTGATCCTTCTGTTTGAACACTGGGACAACTCGGGACATTACAGTGTACAGGTGGGAACTCAGGGGTGGGTATGGTGGCATGTCCATCGTGCTCCACAGAATGAGGGTGAAGGATTTCAGGAATATGAGGACGCCCAGGCAGTAGAGTGAGACACAGCACTACCACCCTGTGTGAGTTCTCTCTCTCTCTCTCTCTCTCTCTCTCTCTCTCTCTCTCTCTACCACCCTGTGCGAGTTATCTCTCTCTCTCTCTCTCTCTCTCTCTCTCTCTCTCTCTCTCTGTCTGCCTCTTCCTCTCCCTCAGGCACTCATTCTCCCCCAAAAACACATAGGAGAGAGAGAAGCAAAGAACAACTACAGCTATAGGAGGCTAGTCCCAAGTGAACTGCACTACAGACCTGTCTGTGTCCAGATGTGACACAACTTTCATGACAAGCAGTATATGAGCACTGGGGAGGTTAGTTTAGGTTAGATTAAAAGGCAATACCAAGGTTGAAAGCCCTATGGGAAAAGAGTCTTCCCACACATATGCAAAGCTTACTTCGGTTGCTTTCAAGTCATGTGACAGTGGGTCTTCCTCCACAAAAGCCAAAACTTTATCTCCAGCTTGAAGAGGAAGAGGGCCGATCACAACATCAGTGCTGAAGAAGACACAGTCTTCTATCCAGCCATAGTCATTGCCACAGCTTGTCACAATACCTTTTACAATCTTGGTGTTGGGCTCACCTGTGAATTGGGGACACAACAGATGTCATGAATTAATCTTAAAGTCAAAAACTCACTCTGGTGAATCCTCTCCCAAAATGATATGGTACAAAACCATGTCATCTGCAAGCAGAATGCTTCTGGTTTGAGGACAACAGGCAAGGGACAGGAAGCCTGATGGGGACCTCTCAGATTCTGGAGGCAGAATGTCCAGGTTCAAATCCTGACTTTGCCATGTTCTGCACTGGGTGACCCTGCTCATGGGCACCTGTTGGGAACCATATAGCTTTGGTTATAAGCACAGTGTCTTTAACCAATATTCGGTGTAACCCCTAGCACATTTATTAGCCTCTCTACTCAGGTAAGGAAATTATGTCTCCTGGTTCCTGTTGTGCACATTAACTGACACAAAGTTGTCAACCGCCTACAACTGGGAGTGTCTTGTACACCTTACAGGTCAAGCTCTGTGGTCACATTCCATCCAGGACCACAATTACTGTCAAATGTTGTCTAATAAGTCACCAAAGAGAGAGACAGGCCCAGGTCTCCTTCATGATGCAGCTTAGGTTTGCGTCACAATTCTGGCCCTCATGATGTCACAATCAAATGGCTGGAGAATTGGCATGGCAAGACTGGGGCTTCTCTTGAAGCGTTGCTCATGAATGTTAACCACAGGCTTGACACATAGAAACACCAGACACAAGTTGGAATGACTTCAGGAAACCTTCTTACACTGCCCTAGACCCCCAGGCACCCAAAGCCTTCAACCTTTCTGCTTTCGCGCTCACTTCAAGTGAGATTCAGCTTACAAGGGGTAGTAAACTGTGCCCCTGATCTCACACGCTTGGCAAAGACCTGGCACTGACTCCCTTCTTGCCTCAATCACCAGCTGGGATAGTAAGGAAAACTGAATCCCAATTGGCCATGCTCAAATGTGGGGGTTCCAGGAAGTAGGAGAAAGGCTCTCAAGGGCCTTTTGTGTCCCAGCTCTTGTGAATTGGTCAAAAATTTTCCCCATTGGTCCCCCAAGAGAATTTGAATTTGGTACAGGGTTCAATGTTCACCCAATTTATGGGACTAGGCACACCCTCCAACTCAACTGCCACTGAACCCCAGCTCTTGTGAATTGGTCAAAAATTTCCCCCATTGGTCCCCCAAGAGAATTTGAATTTGGTACAGGGTTCAATGCTCACCCAATTTATGGGACTAGGCACACCCTCCAACTCAACTGCCACTGAAGACAGCTGGAGGCCTCTCTCTCTCTCTCTCTCTTTCTCTCCCTCTCTCTCCCTCTCTCCTGTCTCTCTCTCTCTCTCTCTCTCTCTCTCTCTCTCTCTCT